TGAAAATGAAGAGACATTTTAGCATAGTTTTAAATTTGCAAACCACAATTAGTCAAATTTTTTTGTCAACAATATTGCATTATACATTTAATTATAGTCATTGTCACACAGCCAGCATTTTCGTTGCGTCTCATCTCGTTTTCGTCACTTGATAAAGGTTCATTGACAACGATATTTAGTGATAATTTTTGTTGACGAGAGAACCAAAAAGCACAAGAAACACAGGCCATAACAGCAGAACTGGCCTCTGAGGATCTGGCATCAGAAGCCTTACAAGAAGGGCTGCAGTAGACTGTTTAAAAAATTGTCTCTTTTCAGTTAGAACAGCAAGAATGTTTACAAGAAACAGCGAGAGAGGCTGGAGGAGAGAAAAAAAATATTAAAATGCTATAGCGGAATGCATAAAGTAAAAAAAGTTAAGATAATCATAAGATGATTTGTGTGTGTGTTTTGTTTGAAATAATCATTAAGTGAATGTGTAAAAATAAAATGTGAAAAGATTGTGTTGAAAAAGGTACATTTAGAAGTCTAAAAGTACATTCAGAATCTAAATCATAGAGTGAAAATGCTGAATCATGGAGAAAGGGGAAGTAGACACATATCCCTGAATAGAGGAACTGCAGTTTTGTGTGCCTATGAAAGGCAGAGAGAGAAAGACACACAGCTTATTAAGAAAGTAAAAATGATGGTTTCAAACCTAAAAGTAAAGATTTGACTGATAATTAATGTTTAATCAATGTCTAATCAATGTTAATCAATGTTTAGTCAAGTATTGTATTCAAAATATAAGGATCCATGTTTTGATTTTAAGGAATTGATAGTTTGTGTAAAATCAGTGTGTAATTCTGATTGTTCTGTTAAAAGCAATGATGGAATTTTTGGTATTTCAGTCAAATGTGAGTTTCTTGTATCTTTATTAAGCATTAAGATGATTTACTTTTCTAAGAAAGGGGAAGTAGAATCCAAAGCTGGATGACAGTGGGGTGGAGGCCAGTTACAGGCAGTAGACTTGAGCTGTGACAGTAAAAAATATGCAATAGTTCTGAAGAATATGACTTTGCACACCAAATAAGGTATTAACTGCAAACTGCGGCATTTGGTTGGATGACAAAGACTGCTGACCAGAAACCTTTAAAAACCCAGGCAAAAAGAGGAACGGAGAGTTCTTTCACGGCTGTGGCCAGAGGCTCAGTCTGGTTGACTGTCTGACTTCCAGGGGACCGAGGACTGCGGAGGGGCAGTCGGGAAGAGCACCCTGCTGGGGGTGCTCCCCCACAGGCATGGCCTGTGAGGGTGAAATGGATGTCGGCATGGGAGAGAAAGCCCCTTTCTGTGGGTGTTCCCCCACAGGCCTGGCCTGTAACGGTGAGATGGATGCCGGCATGGGAGCGAGAGCTCCTTTCTGTGGGTGTTCCCCCTCAAGCTGTTCCAGCCTGTGAGGGAGGAACGGATGTTGGCATGGGAGAGCCCCTTTCTGTGGGTGCTCCCCCACAGGCACCCAGCCTGTGAGGGTGAAACGAATGTCAACTTGGGATGATGGAACTGTGGCAGAGCCTCACGGTTCAGTCCACCCAGCCTGGTGGGGACAAATGGCTTGGAAAAAAGACTGTTTTTAGACATTTTCATGTCTTTATGTTTTTCAGAAGAAAGAAGATTTGGGCCAAATGATGACAGTTGTGTTAGACATTCTCATGTCTTTATGCTTCCTGAGTTACAGGAGATTTGACCAAGAACATGGTTTATCTGAAAATTTCCCATAATTCTCTCTGAGAGTTTAGAAAATTGAACCGGAGGAGAATGAGGTTTTCCTGATCAGTTTTGATTTTTCTATTTATTAGGTTTTTCCTTGTGAAAGCTTGAATCCTGTCCAAAAGGAAAAAGAGAAACAAACAATTGCCCAACCTGCCGCCACCACCCCGCCCAGAGCCAGCTAAGGACTGGTGACCGTGAGCAAACCTTTGACTTTATTCAGATCAAGAACTTAGCTCAACCATAATAATTTTAATCAGTATAATATTTTAGAGTGATGTTTAGAGATAGCATTTGTTAATTATTTAGGTTCAAATGTGTTTATTCGTCATATGCATAGTTAAGAAATGTGTTTCCCTGTACAATGAAATTCTTACTTTGCCATCCACATGAATGCCACACAATACAAATAAAATATAAAGTAGATGAACAATACAAAATCTAAGGCACTTTAAAACAGCAAGTGAAGAAATAAAAAATATATAAAAATATAAAAGGAGAATGTATGCTACATGGGAAGTTGTAAGCCAAATAAGACAATTATTGATGATTTTACGGTTTATATTTTATTGCTCGCTGCTTTGCTGTAACTCTTTTAAACTTCTATATAACATTCCTGAAAAGGTTTAATAGTCTCTGTGGTTATTGAGTCAAGTTTGAGGTAATTGACATTCCTAAGATTTTAGTGGGTTTACAGTTTTAAGTGGTAATGGTTAAAGCTACACATATAAGCACACAGTTCTCAGTGTTTGATTACCCAACTCACAGTGAGTGTTTGATTACCTAATTCCTAGTGAGTGTTTGGGGTTACACAACAATTTACAGTGTTGACAGTAGGCCAAGATTGAACAGCTAAAATCATTTTTAGACAGATACATCAGAAAAGGGTTTATCTAAAATATCCAGTTGTTTACTTGTTACATAATATACACTATTCTTTAAATATCCTATCCTTAATAGTATCTTATGTCAACTAAATACTGTTCAAAACAGATATGGTCTTAAGTGTCCAGTGACACAGCTTTCATTGGTTATTTCAGACTAAATTTAACACTTCCTCAAAGAGCCAGAGTATATTGGTTTATAAAAGTTTCTCAGTACAGTAACATCTGAGGGTTTAAGGAGGTAGCTGCCACAATAACTGCAAGTTGTTGTTATTTGAGAGGTTTTGGGGTCTTATCCTGAATTAGTAACATGAAAGAGGGAGGTCTGCAAGGAACTCTGTTTGCAGGTTTATGGTAGCCAATTACTGAGTGAATATGTCCGTCATACATCCTCAAGCAGTGTTTGGAGCTTTAATATGTTTCAAATATGCCACCTTAGTGTGAGAGGTTAAGCTTTATTCCTATGTCCAGTGGTTAGCATATCATGGCCTTCATACATGTGTTTACTTTCTCATTCCTGCCCCAGACTCCTTTAACCAATGAGAGAAGGGAACAGTCTCGGGTGATTTGTAGTGATGCATTTTTGTTTGCTTGGATTTTTGTGTGTGAAACGAAACCAAGCTAAGGGGAAAACAGACCGAGTTTACAAACTGGTCAGACTACTGCAAACAAACTACGGTTGTGAGTGCCCTAAGTATGCAAAACATTATAAACTTTTTAAAACACTTTTTACAAAATACTCACTTAAAGTCTGAAGTCTAATGCTATTTGATGAAGTACTGGAGTGCACCTATGTTGTAAGTGTGCATGCACACGGTTATGTTGTGACTTATTTTGAGGACTGTGTAAACACTTTTCCTACAGTGGCAACTGTGACTGTAACTTTTGTTGTGACAGAATAACATATTGTCATGATCAGTCATCAATTTTCTCATAAAGCCACAAGAAAACAGATGCTCTCCACTCAAAACTGTTGACTCCCAAAAGTACTGAATGCTCACTGAATTCCTCCGGCTTTATGCTGGTTTACATGTCAACCAGTAACAGTGAACCCATCAGCTGTGTGTGGGTCATGTGCCAAATTTTGGCCAGCCTGCATCTGCTTGCACCATGTAGGCCTACAACCGACCACTCACAGGATGAGTTCTGCTGTTGATTGTTACCTCTAATGTTTGTCTTCACAGCCCCTTATGGAGAATACACCCTAGATTGTCAGTCTGGATGATTGGAATTTCATTGACTTGACTCAGACAGCTCTCATACTATTCTTTGGTGACTCAGATTCACCTGGCTGGTACTCCAACACAGTTTAATGACTCAACTACAACATTGAGGGAGTGTGTGGAGGTCCCTTTGGTTAATGTTAACTTTATCAAGTAATGCTTGTGGTCCCAGGGTATTCAGGATAAGGTCCTATTTTCTTCAACCATTGTTAAAATACAAGCCAACAAAAGTGGCTAGCCAGCATTAGCTAACATGCTTAGAGAATTATTTTGCCTCCAGCTACATTTCACCCATTAGAAAACATCATGTTTACTAACAAAAGGGGGGCCTATACAACCCTAACTTGCATCCTTTGACTAAAGTTCTTATTATTTTAATGTTCCTATTGTTTTTTTAACCTGTTTTGTATTGTGTTGTGTATTTTAATTTTAATGCGCTTGCAGCAAAGCTCACAGTGGTCTAAAGCACTTTGTTAAGCATAAGGAAAAACTGTGGTTAGATATTGATACTGATGTTACAAAATCATAAAAACATTAATTAGGCTTTAATGAGGATTGACTATTAATGGGTAAAATTCATTGTGAGTGAATGTTTTGCAGCCACATTTTACAGGAGACTTGATCAGATACTGATTCATTAAAGTTAATATTCTCCAGTCATGATAATGAAGTATTACATGATAAAACGGTAGCATTATAAAACCATAGAACTTTCCCATTCACTTTCATTTACATAGAGCTATTTGTCCTCTGGGTTCTACTTCCCTTAAATAAAACTTGTCAATATAACACTGTTCAGCAGCAAACTGATATATATCTCACATGTGACAACCTCTCAGCACCTGAATGCACCAGAAAGGTATGTTAGCTCTGTCCTTTTCAAACATGTTTGCATTTGTCAGCTGATATACCATGCAACAATTAGCTAACACAAATACTAAACAAGACATATTCACTCACACATTCTTATGTTATCTTTGCAGTCCAACCTCATAGCCACATCCAACCTGCTTTTTTCCTAATATTATGTCCTACTGTATATTCTGTGCTATATTGTGTGTTTGATTTATCACTTGTTGGGGAACAATCATAAGATTCCATATCAGCCTGACATCTTAGGTTAACCCACCCAGAGCAGCCTCACCAGTTTGTGTTTAGTGTCAGTGAGGTGCGTCTCCTCGTAGCTGTCGTCATGGGCTGTCCAGCTGTACGACACCAGGAAATGGAGGATGGGTGGGTGGTAAGTGACCTCTGGATGGGCCCAGCGGACCACTAGAGCACTGCCGTTCACATGCTGCACCTTCATGTTGATGGGAGCACTGCTGCACACTGGGAAAGAAAAAGAGTAGTGGTGAGAAAAAGGGGATGAGAAAATATATACAGTATATATAAATGAAAGGATAATATTGAAGGATAGAGGAGAAAAATAGAGAATAAAGTAACAAAGGGAGAGAAAAAACAGTTGGAAGGGGAGGAAAATAAAGAAGAGAAAGGGAGTAGATAAGCAAATAGAAAAAAGAAAGGGAAAAAAGTAGAGGAAAATATGTGCAGTAAGAAAGAAATGTAAAGTGAAAAGATGCAGAAAGGAGCAAAAGCAATGAAGGGACAGAGATGAAGATGGACAGTTAGATGAGGAATGACAAAGGAAGGATAAAGCAGAGGAAGGAGGAAATAAAGCATAAGGACAGAAGGTTGAGAAGGAACTGGAGGCAGAAAAAAGATGGAGGGAAAAAGAACAAACCTGATTGGTTGATTGGTTGGGAGGAAAGGAAGGAAAACAGGAAGAAATACAAAAGAGGGATTGGAGGAAGAAAATAATGGAATGGGGGAATTACAGTATAGAAACAAATGACATCAAGGAAGGAAGAACAAGAAAGTGAGAAAAGTGAAAATGGATAAACAGGAAAAGAAAAAAGGAAGGAAAGACATGGAATGGATGTGAAGGAAAAATGATGGAAGCAACAAGAATTAAAGGAAAGAGGGAAAAAAGTCTAAATACATCATCTCAGTATATATTTCAAATACACTCAGCAAGAGGGAGAGAGATGAGTGAGTGTTATGTGACTGTGACTTGTATTCATGATGTGTTATTAATATGGCTGTGAAACACTCTGAGTCATTTAGACACACAGACAGATACACACACATACAGGTTTTGTTTAAAGACTCCAATAAAACACAAGTTAATATACAGTGGCCTTCAGGCAAAATCCAGCCAACCTGCTCTGCTTTCAAATATCTGGCAGCGAGCAATATGAAGGCAAACACAAACACTGTATTTTTTTCTGAGGAATTTAACAGTACACACTCTTACTCTTCTTTCATTCTAATAGGCCCAGCCCTGCATTGGCTGCTGGTGACCACTAGATGGCTATGTTTGAACAGTAAGGACTTCTGCTCAGCTGGGCAACACCATAACTGGAGTATTTGATTTCAGATATTGAACAGGCTATTTTATAATCACTTTTATAATAATTGAATTCTCAAATACAGACTGAGGCCTCTGTTTAATTCACATGTGGAGAGAACCAGATGGAACTAGAGAGAACCTTTAAAGTAGGTTTATATAAGACATAGCCATTTCAATCATGAACATATTTGATTGTGTTTTAGCAAGAAGTCTTTCTGTTTTCAGATTTCCTACCATTTTAATTTGCTGTTAAAGCTATCCATGCAAACTCTATGTTTACGTGAAGGGCTGATAATTTAGCGTGATGCACTGTATCTTTCCACAGACTAATTCCATCAGCACAATATACCCACTGTGAGTTTATCTTCTCTAACAAAAGGAGAAATATTGTTTTAATTCATTATATTATTTCCATTTAGGCTTCCATTATTGCATTTTGCAATAGCTGTCAGGCTACTCTAACTAAACATATAACTTCCTTAAAGACTTTTCACACCAAAAACCTTACAAATGGTCAAATTGCATTATTGCTAATAGGCTTTTAATGTGAAACATTTGCAGGCCTCTACTCCTGCCCCACTAATGCCCTCTGGCATTATCTTAGTCCTGGATATTATTTGAATACCAGTTTGTATATGAAAATATTCAATATTATTATTTTCCCTTTTTTGTCATTTTATATTTTTTCATGGTTTTTGGCTGTGCCCCCTAATTTCACTAAATGGGAATCTCAATGCTATAGTATACACTGACAGTTCAGACAATACAAATATGTATGTGGCAGCAGTTTGGGGAAGACCCTTTCCTGTTTCAGTGATTCCATGCACAGAGCCAGCTACTGTATATTAAAAAAAAGGTTTTCCCTGTTTGGTGTGGAAGAACATGACTGGCCTGCACAGAGCCTTGACTGCAACTCCAACACATTTGGGATGAACTGAAATGCTGACTGTAAGTCAGGCCTTATCACCCAACATCAGGAACGGCACTCAGTAATGCTCTTGTGGCTCAATGGGAACAAGTAGAAAGCCTTCAGAGAAGAGTGGATGCACTAATAGTAGCATAGTACTGCTACAGAATCACATATGGGTGGAAGGTTTGGTGTGCACAGTCTGGCCAGTATATCTGCAGTATGTTAAGCAGTAATTTGTTACACTACTTACTGTTGAGAAAGAGAGTAGGGTGTTACGATCCTACAATGCCCACAATGATTATTCCAAACACTATATCATATTATGCAAATATGTAAGGTAATTCAATGATGAGCATGGGTTGATTTAGAATAGAGCTTATGTGCTTGGTAGAACCAAATTGATTAGCTTGCTCAGAATGAGCTACAGTGTAGTTTTTTCTATTCATAACCTGCAGTCGAGCCCCATGTGGCTTAGCATTACTAAAGCCATTAGTCACATACACACAGAAGCACACACATTCACACAGCAGAACACACCCATTCACAATACACTGACTTCATTTGGAAATCAAATGGCAAATGACCTCTATGCAGGGAAAGGGTACTTAACAGATTATATCAACCTGGACCAGTCAGCCATGCCCTGTGTGTAGGTGTAGGTGTGTGTGTGTGTGTGTGTGTGTGTGTGTGTGTGTGTATGTCTGTATGTTATTGTGTGGAGAAATTTTGTTCACTACCACATTGAAGGGGACCAGTCAACTTCAAAGGGCTGTTTGAAGGTTAAGTCTTGTACCCTAAGACTAAAACTAAATCGAATTCAGGTGTCAAAATTAACATTGATGCAAATTGCATTCCCTTTTAACAACACAAAAACTGTTACATCCATTCATCCATGAGTTATCTCACTTGTCTTGTGAAAGATGGCTGGAGCCAATATCCCAGCTGACATTGGGTGAGAAGCGGGCTAAACCCTGGACAGGTCACCAGTCTATCACAGGGCTGACACTTACAGACAGACAATGACACTTACAGACAGACAACCACACTCACTCCTACAGACAAGACAATTTAGAGTCACCAATCAACCTAAGCTGCATGTCTTTGGACTGTGGGAGGAAGCCGGAATACCCAGAGAGAACCCACACAGGCACAGGGACTCCACACAGAAGGTACCAGGTCGGCCGGGACTCGAACCCAGAACCTTCTTGCTGTGAGGCAACAGTGCGCCCATATTATATTATATGATATTATAATATTGGAACATTAACATTGTATACAGGGTATTTGACCTCACATTGTTAGGTGTTCGGCTGAGAGATGCTCCCCTCCCCGACCTGACAATTAGGACAAACAACCAGGTGCGTTCGCCGGCACAGGCGCATGCAATTACCACTACGGATCTTAACCAGAGCTCTGGTGTCTCGCACTTGCCAGTTCATTAGTTATGTACGTGACATAACTAATAGGGGCAGCTGTGACTCAGGAGGTAGAGCGGGTTTTTTCCTAACCGGAGGATTAGCGGTTCAATTCCCAGCTTGTCCAGTCAACATGTCGAAGTGTCCTCCAGCAAGATACTGAACCCCCAGTTGCTCCCGGTGATGTCACCGATGTGAGTGCTTGGGAGTGTGAATGGGTGAATGGCCGAATAGTGTGAAAGCACTTTGAGTGTGCTGTAAAGCGTAGAAAAGCACTATACAAGTATAAGACCATTTACATACTTGTGCTTATTGGCTTACACTACTACCTACCTGCTGTCCTGTGTTTTCCTGGCTCCCAGCTCTTGTGTTCTGGACCTGCACCCTCCTGCCTGCCCCTCTGGACCCTGCACTCCGAGACATGCGTCCCCGGATCCTCCGCTCCTCACCAGCGAGCATCACACCACCGAGCTGCCTTCACCCTCTCCTAGTCCTCAGCCTTCACCCCCACACCACGTCCTGAGCTTCTGAACTATCACCTTATTCATTAAAAGAAACTGAAAGTAAAGGTCTGTCTAACGTCTGTCTGTTACACTGCCTCTGGGATCATCCGCACCTCGAAAGCCGACTGGCTTAACACACATAGAGCTTCAACACAGAGTAGCTACTATATATGTGTTTATGCATTATTTTTATTATTACAAGAAAAAAGAACCACATAGAAACACTAAGGCTGTCAGAGGTTAGAAAACAGCACAGGAAAGCGGAACAGAAATGAAGGAGAAACAATCTTTAGAGTCACTCTGAGATATTTAAAAAAAGACTTTGCATTTTCAACTCGGAAGTAAATAAGGCTAGGCAAGCCTTTTTCCCTAGCATCATCATCATCATATCAATAATTCTTGGGTTTTACTTGCCACTGTTGAAGGGCTAACTATTCCTCCAACACAGTTAGTCCCTGATTTCAAAATAAGTGTGATGAATTAGATTTTTTTTTTGGTGAAAAAATCAAAAATATCAGACTGGTCCTAAATGACAAGCAACCAGACCACTGCTGCAGCCATATAGCAACACTCTGGTTAGACTATCAGTATTCAATGCTATCAGCACTAAAACTCTGGGGATGTAATTAAGAACCATTGGGGCAAAACCAAAAACGTAAAGTTGCTTTTAGATATGATGCTGCACACAGATTAAAACAACTTCCCGATGACCTGAAATGTGCCCCAGCTCTGCTACTTTCAAGTCTCAACTGAAAACTCTTCTATTGTATTTTTCTGTGCCTTTGTTTGCCTGGTTTACAGTGGTGTGAAAAAGTGTTTGCCCCCTTACTGATTTCTTATCTTTTTGCATGTTTGTCACACTGTAATGTTTCAGATCGTCAAACAAATTTATATATTAGTCAAAGATAACACAAGTAAACACATCATGCAGTTTTTAAATGAAGGTTTTTATTATTAAGGGAAAACAAAATCCAAAACTATATAGCCCTGTGTGAACAAGTGTTTGCCCCCCTGTCAAAACACTGGTTTATCGCCCCTCAGTTCAATTTCTCTAGCCACACCCAGGCCTGATTACTGCCACACCTGTTCGC